GGGGGGGCAGGTATTTATCTCCCTTCAGTTTGGGGGCCCGGGGATCGTCTCCATCCTCCTCCAGTTTTGAGGGGTGTGGGAGTAGTCTCTGCCTCCCAGCAATTTAGGGGAACTGGTGCAGGCTCCACCCCCCTCTGATTTTGAGGGACAGACTGGAGGAAAGACATCAAAAGCTTGACAAAGGTGGAAGGGAACGCTCTGATTACCCCTTTTCCCAAGAGGTTCCCTTAGCTGAAGTTGCTAACAAGGACCAGACTTGACAGCCCGCAGTGGGTTTCGGGTTGTTTTATTTCCTGGGCCCTCAGTCCTGCATGGGACACGGGAACTGGGTGCTGCAGAGGCTCTGGCAAGGCATCAGAAATGCCTGCCCAACACCGCCTGCACTGGCGGACACTCGGGGGGTTCCTCGGGGCACAGCGAGGCTGATGGCTCGGTCTTGGCCACAGGGCACAAGAAGGAGCTGCGGGAGCTGTACCAACTGGGCCCGCAGTTGGGGAGCGGTAGCTTTGGCACCATTTTCTCAGGGACCCGCCTCTCGGACGGGAGCCCGGTAAGTGGCCGGGACGGCTGGGCACAGCAGGAGGGCCGGGGGCAGTGCGGGACAAGGCTTAAGCTCAGCCCCCCCTCTCTCCACGGCTTGCAGGTGGCCATCGAGTGCGTGGCCTGGGACATGGTCCTGCAGTGGGACGAGCTGGTCAGTGAGTGGGGCCTGCGGGACAGAGCGGGCCGTGGCAAGCAGGGATAAGGCCGGGGCCGAGGGCAGGGCATGGCCGGGGGCAGCAGGCGTGGGCTCAGTGTGCGAGGCCCAGCATTGTGGGCCCGGGGATGCCAAACAGCAGTGGTGGGTCCAGGCAGGGGCCACTTTCCAGTCACCCCCCGGGCGGGAGGAATCCCAAGCAGCAGGGAGGCTGCCCAAGGTGACATTGGGGCATCCTGCACAGGGGCATTGCAGCCACAGGGCAGCATCAGGCCCTGTGATGGAGGCATTGTCTTCTCCTCACAGCCCAACAGCACCTGTGTTCCAACGGAGGTCGTGCTGATGGAGAAGGTGGGCTTTGGCTGCTGCAGAATCATCCAGTTCCTCAACTGGTTTGAGCTGCCCGACAGCTTCCTGCTGGTGATGGAGCGTCCAGAGCAATCTTGGGACCTCTTGCACGTCCTGCTGGAGCAAGAGTTCCTGAGCGAGGAGGCAGCACGCTGGCTTTTCTGGCAGGTGCTGGAGGCTGTATGGCACTGCACCGCCTGCAGCGTCCTGCACTGGGACATCAAGCCGGAGAACCTCCTCGTCATCCTGGAGACTGGCGACCTGAAGCTCATCGACTTCGGTTGCGACACTTTCCTCCAGGAATGGGCCTTCACACAGTTTGCAGGTGAGCCCAGAGCGCAGGCCCTGCTCCCAGTGCCAGGCACTGCACGGCCCCATTCTCTCCTGGGCCGCGGGGTGCAGCATTCAGCCGGCTGCCAGCTGCCCTGGGGCACGGGGCAGATGCTGTGCCCTAGGAGGCGGCTGCCGGCCCTGCCGACAGAAAGGGGCTGCAAAAGCCCGGCCCTGGCTCCTTGGCTTGGCAGGTCCGCAAGGCCTTGGGCTGCTCCGCTGGCATTCTCAGCCTTGCAGAATGGTTTCTTGGCTTTGGCCCATTGTCAGGGGGAGGGAGGCAGGACTTGGGGAGAAGTTGTGGCCACGGCTGCACAGGCAGGAGGCTGGCACCAGGCTCTGGAAGCCAGCAGCCTGCGCCTGAGCAGTGCCGCCCATCTCCCCTAGGAACACGCACGTACTGCCTGCCCGAGTGGATCGGCCTGCGCTGCTACCACGGCGATGGGGCGACCATCTGGTCCCTGGGCGTGCTGCTGTTTGAGATGGTGTGCAGGCACTTGCCCTTTGAGAACGAGTGTGACGTGTTGGGGCAGCCCATCTTCCCGCAGGAGGTCTCTCCAGGTTGGTATGCAGCCTGAAGATGGCAGGCTTTGGCAGGTGGCACCGCGCAGCCCAGCCCAGCCCTTCCGCAGCTCCGCGGGACGTCCATCTGCCCTCAAGGGTGGGCTGCAGCAGGTGGCCCGTGCTGGGCTCGCTGTGGCACGCTTGGCTGAAGGAGGGGGTGCTTGTCCTGCCATGCCGCTCTCCTGCCAAGGGCAGCTCCGAGCACACGCAGCGTGGCCCGGCTTCTGCAGGCGCCGGGAGCAGCTGGGCAGGAGCCTTCTGCAAGTGAGCGCCGCTTTCTGCCTTCTCTCCCCAGAGTGCCAACATCTGATCCGCTGGTGTTTGTCCAAGCACCCCATGGACCGGCCGGTGCTGGAGCAGATCTTCTACCACCCTTGGGTGTTGGGTGGGCATTTCTGATGCCTTGCCACAGCCTCTGCAGCACCCAGTTCCCGTGTCCCACGCAGGACTGAGGGCCCAGGAAA